CTCTTTTGTAATATTTTCTAAACGTTTAAAGATAACTAAGTAAAATTTGGTACAAACGCTTACCTTTTTATACTCTATTTAAAAGACTAAACCCCAGTTTTTGATCATCTTCATAGGTGGGTAAATTGGGGGGGGCTTAGGGTAAAATTGTCTTAAGTTTTTTTTGTTGACAGTTTTTAAAATTTTTGACTATAAAATTTGGAAAACCAATGTTTTCTTTATAATAAAGCTACTTTTGTAGCATCTCGCTGGGACGCACCATTTTCATGAAAAAAGCATTTGAAAATTTCATGATAAGTTATTCGAAAGTGTAAACAATAATTAGTAGGCCTATGAAATCAGAAATTTTATTATTTCTTTTTTTACTTTGGAAAACCGGTGATTAAAGAAATTTTAGAAAATGTGCCATCAGGACTTCACTTGTAACACCCTGTATCTCGAAAACAAAACGTTTTCGGATCTATGTTTATATGAACTTTTATTCTTATTTTAGGATGTAGATTATGCTGTTAAAATATAACCGTCTAATTTCGGGACAACCTGTATATTCGATGGGATTAAACTGGCAGACGTAAAACTTGATGACCGTAACTTTCAATAATCTGATCCACAACAAAGATTTTTGGTTTTGCGTGTATATTTGCCAAGCGTAATAATTCTGATTTTAATATATATTGAGGAAATGGTATATGTTCCTTTGTCAACCATTCTTTAATTTTATCAACAGTCCAAGAATTCGTTGGACTTTTGTTTAATACTTCAGAATGGTAAGGTATATTGTCTAAAATAATTACGCTGGGTTCACTTAAACCTGGGAGAAGTTTTTCATGCAACCATTTTACAAACATTTCTGTGTTCATATTATCGTGGTAGTCACTGGATTTCGATTTAGATGAAAATATTAAATCAGCATCTTCTATAAAACCCGATTTCCCTCCTGCATGTAAAATTATGTGTCGCTTTCCTTCTCCATCGGTATGTTTGATGGACTTTACGTTATCATCTTGCCATATTCTCTTGGTTGCACCCCTAGAAAATATCCATGTTTCGTCTAAATATATAAAATTCTTCTTTAAATTTAGAATATTTTCTTAGAAAGTTAATTCTCTTGTGCACGACAGAACTTCTTTCACAAAGGGCCTTTCTGTTATCCTCCTTTTGAAATTTGAAACCCAAGTTATGTATCACTTGCCATAGACTTGTTCTGCCAATGTCAAATTTTTTATCTATTAATTCCGAGAGAATTGTATTTAAGGTCACATGTTCCTTGTTGGCCCTAATTCGATAAATGGTATCACGAATTTCAAATTTCTTTCCATTTGGAATATCTTTCGTTTTCAATGATGGGCGAGTTTTGCGGTGATCTTCTTTCGGCAGTTCACTATTGTGATTTTGTAATACTCCTCTTAATTTGGTTTCACTAATTCCTAGAGCATCGCATATGCGTTGTTGTACAGACATTACTGAATTTTAAAGGACCGCCATTTTCTTTTTCATCCGTAAAATACTTATGTACACTACAAATTAGACTATCTACATCTAACACACGTCTAGGCATTTTTAAAAATTTCCACTAAATTTACAATATACATACAATGTCAACACTTGCAAAGAATCAATTCAACTGCAATATTTGTAACAAATTTAGTACCTACCCTAATGTTATTTTAATTTAAATCTAACCATTAGGGCAATTTTACCTAATTTATTGGGAAGAGGCTTATTGAAACTGGTTGGTTGTCAATGACTGCATAATTTTGTTAATCCGAAACCCGCGTAAGTATAATGAATAGACTGTATACTATATGGGATAAGGAAAATGTTTACTTACGATGGGTAAAACGATATTTTTAATGTGGTAGGTTTTGATTTATTTAAAGCTATTAAAGTGTATTTCTGCAATAGAAATACCTGCTATTTGACGTAGATATTATTTTTCCTGTATTTTGGCGCATGTGCCCATTTACAAAAATAGCTAATTTCTATTTTGTATTATTAGAAAATAATGACAAACACATTTTATGAAATTATAGCTGATGAAAACCGTTATGGTTATGATTATAAATATATTAGCATTACTTGGTCTAATTGCTTAATAAAACAGAAAAAAAAAATGTTTGCATGTCCACAGAAATAAAATATTGCAGATGAAATACAGTTACTACATAAAACATAAGTAATCGTTGTTCCGGCATATGTCGTATATTAATAAAAAATAATAAATGATCACAACCGACATACAGATCGAGCACAATTAACGAAAACTTCGTGTTTTTATCGTTTATACCGTCGACATTCAATTGTTAGATTATGGGTTCGTAACATGCCTGTCAGATGGTTATCTAAAATTTCCTATTACCTCGAGACATCTCATTGGTTGAAACCTTAATGATGTTTTTACGTGTGGTTGATAGAGCCAGCTCGAAATGGGCTTTTTTATTATAAAATGCAACATGGCGGATAATTATATGGTGCGCTGGACGTGACTCTGCCAAAGAACCTTTAAAATAAATCTCCTGCAAGAAAATTATTAACGAATGGTTGGTAATAATACTGCACTGACTGAATATCGTTTTATGAGAACGTTAATTTTGGATTGCATAATTTACCATTTCTGTAATAAATTTAGGAAATTAAACATTTTCAATACCTATATATAATAATTATTGATACCTGTATGATATACAATATCCATATGGAAAACAGGATTATGCGAAAATAAAACACATTTTTCATAAATGCTACAGTTGTAATAAAACTGACAGATCTGTTCACTCCTAGAGTAGCGGGAACTTTAAATCTCCATTACGATCATCAAAATAATAGCAATTCCCTTAAAAAAAACCCTTGCCTTCAATACTATTTTTGGTTTTTAACTATATCAGTGTTTCTCAAACTTTTTTTGGCAACGGAACCCTTTTGGAAAGCGAAATATTTGACGGAGTACCGCCACATTTCTAAAAAAAAAGGTTCTCAAGCAAAATCAGATCCTTTCTTAATGAAACAAAAAAAGGACCTTCCTTTTGGTGGCGCGAACTTCCTCATAGTATTTTTTTATTATGACTATTATTTTCGCAAAGCCCACACAGAGGCTTTGTGGAGCCCCAAGGCTTCGCGGAGCACACTTAAGGAAAAACTGATCTATATTATGCAGACGCCTTTCTCTTTTTTCGAAAAAGCATTTTTTTGTTTTTAAAGGATTCTGTATATATCAGTTTTCATGTAGGTACGTGACATCTTTGAGATAAATAGGTATGCAACTATATAAATAAATATTAATCCACCCACGTAATTTGTAAATGGTAAAACCCAGGAATTTGTAATTGCTATAATTTTATAAAATTTGTTTGTCATTATTTTTTAATAATACAAAATAGAAATTAGATTTTGTAAATGGACACATAAGTGTACGCCAAAATACAGGAAAAATAAATAAAAAGTTTTATTTAGACTAAGTAGAAATATCACTCCAACTATTAAATAGAACAAATAACAATATGTGAAATAATTAAACTTAAATAATCGTGATGAAATCGGTTTATAGTTTCGAAATCTATCGGTTATACGATCCGAATATTTCTTTCGTATTGCGTTAACATTCAATCATCTAGATTTTACACATAGATTAGCGGTTTTATCTGTGCATTGATCACAAAATTGTCGTACCCTCTTATACACAAACACACATGCAGACACACGCACACATGCACACACACGCACACATGCACACACACGCACACACACGCATACACACGCATACACACACACGCACACACACGCACACACATGCACACACATGCACACACACGCACATACACGCACACACACACACGCAGACACACACACACACACACACACACACACACACACACACACACACACACACACACACACACACACATACACATACACACACACACACACATACACATACACATACACACACACACACACACACACACACACACACACACACACGCAGACACACGCACACACACGCGCACACACGCACACACACACACACGCGCGCGCGCGCACACACACACAAACACACATGCACACGCGCGCGAACACACATATTCACACAAACACACATTCACACAAACACACACATTCACACAAACACACACATACAGACAAACACACACATACCATCTCACACACACCACACCCACACATATCCACACACACCCACACAAAGTAAAAATCCGTCAAAAATTCGAGGTCGAAAAAATCATGATTCATATACTTTTCTTATCTGTATCATCTAATTGAATTTTTAAAGAATGTCTTATTAATAAATATTTTAAAAGGTTTGAAAATTCTGAAAATGAAAAATCCCCAATTCTCCCTACGAAATTATGAAAATTATACCCTTATATTACAAACCAAAGAAATGTTGAAATAGCTAAGAATTGAAGAAAGAAAAAATGCGTGCAATTATTTTTGTAAGTTGCACGTGATTTTCCCTGGCTAATTTGTATACATTTTTGCCACATTATTCCAGATTTTCAAAATTTTATTAGGTAGCATTGAGTTATGAGTGAAAAAATTATCATAATTTAATTTTTTATGTAGTTTCAGCGATACTTTTTTACTACTTTGTCCGATTTCTATGATTCTTTTATTGTTAGAAAGGGGATACTTCAGGGGTAGTTCCATTTACAATTGATCAGGATATGATTATCTATGAGAAAATTAAAATTTTAAAATTCTTAAAGCTTTACTTTACTTTTTGTACTTAGCATATCCTCACCTAATACTCTGAAAGGTGGCAACTTGATTGGAGTCGAGACAAACTCCTCTTTATTTCCTTTATTTTCGGTTAGTTCAATTACCTCTACAATTACCGTACAGGAAACAAATCTGAAATATTAAATATATCAATAACCATTAAATTGAAATACTTCAATTGGTTACTACTTATGTTATTTTAAATTACCTAAATAAAATTTTACTTACTTCCATAAGTGTGATCAAATAAATTACATCATTTTTACCTTCTGATGTAGAGGGCATGTTACTATCATCTTCATTAAAGAAAGAATTCATTGTGGGAATAGTTATTGCATTTTTGTTTAAGACGTTTAAGGCATATGTCCACTTGTTTCTCTCTATTTTTCCTGGATGAATAGCAGGTTTCTTTTTGGCAGTCATTTCTCCTTTTAACCTGAATTGGATCATATAATTCTGAATGTTCTGGCATAATTGAATTTTCTCAGAAAAAGCTTCTTCAATTTCAGATCTATAAATGAAATTTATTTTTAATTTCCAGTATTAAGTCTATATTTAATTATTAATGAATTTATGCAAATAAAGAAACAAAAAGTTGTGAACAGAAATTGTAAACACAATCATGGGCCTCCTTGTATTATGAGCCTCTTAGTGCTTAGGTATATACCTATATATAATTGCATAGATCACATAAGAAATGGAGTCTAATAGAAAAAAGAAATCGTACTTACTTGTCCTTCAAGATTTTTGTCTTCTTCAACCACAATTTTATTAATAAGTCTACATGGTCTTTTAACGTTTTTAGAAGAAAATTCTTTTCGCAAAGCAAATTAACGTTTTCCTTTACTTTTGTCCATAACTTACTATTTAAAAATGGGTTATGCCCAGCTACTTCTCTTATTAAACAAATATCGTCCTCTTTCTTAATCCGTAGTCGAGATCTTTTTATAATTAAATGCGAATTTTCCATTTTAAAAACAAGATCCACCAATTTAAAGCAAACTGTAACAAAACTAACAAAGCACGAGAACACTAGAAAACATGGAGGAAGAAAACTGAAGAAACACACTATGACAAGACCTCGACAAATTCAAAAGTTTGACATTTGTCATACGTCAAACGAATGGAACGTTTATGTGACTTAAAAACTGTTTCTACTTTTTTGTAGGTATGGTTATCGTTCATAACCCTAGCCACAACTATCCAATAAACTGACGTTAATTTTTGATGGCTTAAAATCTCTCTATTAACTAAATATACCGCAACACATTGCAGAGCTTCCTACAATTACCAAAATTGGTCGATCTCTTGCATTAAATGTGCAATGCTAAACAAACTGACCAAATAAATTACCTCGATGACAGATGACTCGTGAAGCCACGTGACTCCCTCGGATCGCATCGCATGGCTGTCTTCCGAAACGGCATTGATATTGCAAGAGTGCCTAGCCAGTGTAGACTCAGCTATAAGAAAAAATAATGTTAAGGTATTTTATTAGATTTAAAATATAGCATGTTCTGACTATTGCGCATATTCAGGCGAGCTAGCATATTCAATGATGATCATTCTATTAAGGATTTTTGAGTTTCCCATTGTTGTTAAAATAACAAGAGTAGTGTTTTGATCTAGCAATAAAATCAGAAACCATAAAACTAGTAAAAAGCTAGTATCCGGAAATAAGATAATACATATTGACAATTATTGTATCGTTTGTTAAAATGACACCGGTAGAATTAACTAAACTAATCATATAGAACATTACGTTCTAAACAATAACCATAAATCAAAATTAATTGTTAAAAACCATGTAATCACAACTTGTCTACACTTATTTATTTTAACTAAAATTGTGGTCAGATTTTACCTTCAGAGATATCCAGAAAACAACTTTGAAGTAATAGCTGATAATTTTAATTAAACACGCACTTTCAACAGTATAGACTTGAAGGTATATACATTATTTTTCTTGATATAGTTTGGACTATTTTGACTAGGATTTCTCGCTAAATATTTTTTCAATCTTATTTTTCGATAACATATATCTATCCCTGTCGCCAAAATGCAATAATAAAAAATATTAAAAATTTTTACTCACGCTGTTTTGATAACTGTTTAGAAAAGTACAAAATATATAGTGAAAAGATTAACGGTAACCTAACTGTAGGGGTTATACTATGATAAATAAAATGTAAATAAACAGCGCAAATTAAATTTCTGATGATACGGCATCAATCAAATCCTATAGAGAACCATGCAAATAAATTCACATGGTCTTCCGTAGGATTCGAAACCGTGTCTCGTTTTACCAGAAAATTGGCTCGCAAATAAATGCCGCGCCGTAGACACCTTCGCCACCGTAATCGATTTATGTTAGTAATGAAGAGAGAATAGAATATGGAGTCCCACAATGCATTTTCCTTGGATCTATTCTGATATTGTTGTTATTGCTTACACAGCTCGTATATGGCAAGAGTTGCAGTATAAGGAACAGGAAGACCTTACCGGTTTAAGCATTAACGTTTAATTTTGAAAAATGCATTCTATGCTCTTTACCAGCTACTCATCTTTATTACTTAAATATACAGCATTAACTTTAAGTAATGAAGGAACGGTATTTTAAATAGAGAAAGTTTAAAATACTTGGGAGTCAATATAGATCAACACCTAAAATGGAATATACATGTTTATCACATTACCACAACACTAAGGTTTCTATTGTTTAAATTTAAATGTCAAAAAAAGAAAACTTAATGTCACTTACCTGAACATGATTTATCATGCACTGTGTAGAATCGCGTGTACAATATGAAATTCTAGGATTGGGAGGAAATATTCCAACTCATCGCAAGAAGTTAGGAGTAGGTACTTCAAAAAAAAGTTTAAAAATAATTTAAGCCAAACCGACTACGCTTAAAATTATTATTTGCTGGAGCAAGAGTTACGACCATAAGACAATTATATAGGTTTAGTATACTGAAGTATTTATGCAACAAAAATATAATAAAAATTTCTCACATATACGAATCAAGATATATATAGACAAAATCAGAATGTAGTCACAAATGTTACTAATAAAAATACCGATTGAAAATGTTTCAAATATAGAACAACAAAAAATTATAATTTGCTTCCTAAAAAGTATAATATTTATATTCTAACTTTCAACTCCTTGGGCGTTATTTAAAAAAATATATTTAAAAAATTCCTTTTAGAATTAGATACTGAAGTAACAAACAATTTGGTTATTAAATAAATACAACGTTATTACTGTCCTTAAAAATCTTACTGGTTACTAGATTTATCAGATAATTTTATAAATTATATGGTAAGAAATTTCTTGACGAAAATACCGAGCGCTAAAGTTTTGGAAAAAAAGAAAAAATTATTATTTTCCTAATTGCTTAAGATATTTTAGTGATATTTTATATTTAGTTACAGTTAATGATGGTGCATAATTCAATACAAAAATAATGTTTTGTTTTAACAGTGGAGTGCGTAGTAGCTTCAATATTTTTGAAGAAAAAAATGGTTCGAAGCTAGCAAAGCAGAAAATAATATTTTAACAGTTTAAAAATAGCATAAAAATATTGTGTCGTTGTTTTTGGAAAAAACTTAAAAAACTGAGGTGCTTTGCTGACTTCGTTCGAAGCTAACAGAGCACCTTGATTTTTACAAAAAACGAGTAGCATAAAAATAGCTTTAAAATAGCTTAAAAATTTGCCATATGTTTCAAATTAGTAATGAATAGGATTCGTGATTCGAATCACATCTAGTGATTCGGATTCGTGACTTGAGTAAATTTTTTGAGGATTCGTCCCAGCAACCTAGATAACGTTTTACCTATATTTTTTCGTATATTTATAAAAGCTGAAATGAATTTAAAGACTAGTAACTGAGCTGCTAAAAGTGCACGTCAGGAGCCATTGCCAAACTGCCAACTCTCATTAATCGACTAATTTCCTGTCATATACTTTTTCTTTCTATACTTGACAACGCCGCACTTAAAAAATATCAAATGTTATATTATCAATAAAAAACCAATACCTATTATTTTTTTACCAAAACTTTAAAAAACAACAACTAAGAAATAATGGAACATTCAATTTATGTGGTATTTATTTTCAGATTTTTTCTACATTGAGTAATCTGACAACAATTGAGATATGGATAATTTATCATTTTTAAATAATAGCTTGAAACTGTGAATGGTGGATTTAATATACTGGCGTGCTTATGAAAATATTAACCATCCAGTACTGCCTATTTATTCATTCCGTAGCATATAAATAAAATAGATAAAATGAGGATTTAGAAAAGAGTTTATTGTTCAAGGAGCAAGAAATGATACACATTTCCTACAATTATGATTTTTCATTGAATTGATAGGATTGGAAATTCTCGACATTGAAGACGATATTCTAGTTTTTTTGGAACGGAGCAACCATCCTTAAAATTTCCAATAGCAAGTGGCGTCTTCTAATATCTTATTTGGGAGGTATTTTGATTCTGAATACCGTCAAATAATTATCTGTGTTATGTAAGGAGAGATCTTTAACTACCAGTTTCTATTTAAATGCATAAAGATATTCTATGCTTACCAATTATGAAACCTCAAATCTTTACTCGTACCTTATAAATTATACGTACCTCTCTGACTAAACCCGATGATTGGGAAACATTTAACATATTTATTTTTTTGTATTAATTCCGTAATAAATTCCAGTTGTTTAGTAAAACATGTGTTGTATTTGTTATTGGTTTGTATATATAAAATTTTTAAGAACATCTCTAATAAATTTTTAAAAAATTGTTAAATGACTAAATAAAAATAGTAATTTTTTTATTTTGATAAATTATACCATTCTAAGGTGCGTTTGATATTTCCACGCTGTCATTTTCTTCTTCTATTTCTTCTTCTCCTTTATCTTCTTCTTCTTTTTCTTCTTCTTTTTATTTTTGTCTGGTTTCGTTCTTAACAAGTATCTATACCAGTTTATTTCTGTTTTATTTTTTTTATTATTACTTCTTGTTTTGATATTTTTCTCTTATCGGCTACGGTAGCGTAGGTGTCTACGGCATCGCATTCAGTTGCGAGACCATTTTGTGGTAGAAACACACCGGGCTTCGAATCCTATAGAAGGTCATGTGAATTTATTTGCATGATCCTTTATAGGATTTAATGGATGCCGTGTTAGCAGAAATTTTAATTTATGACATCCAGATTACAAAAATAGACGTGTTCCATTTTCAATAATTTTCAATAATGCTGGGTGGGGTTTTCCGTGTTTTCCTTACCTGTATAAGTCAAATGGTGCCATCAATCAACTTTAAGTCGCCCCGGAGCGCCACGGCAAATAATAATAATAATAATAATAATAATAATAATAATAATAATAATAATAATAATAATAATAATAATAATAATAATAATAATAATAATAATAATAATAATAATAATAATAATAATAATAATAATAATAATAATAATAATAATATTAATATTAATAATAATAATAATAATAATAATAATAATAATAATAATAATAATAATAATAATAATAATAATAATAATAATAATAATAATAATAATAATAATAATAATCACCGTTGGCCGGAATTTTTTCATTTAATTTAATTATTTAAAATTAATTCTGATGCCTTGGTAGGATTCCCCACTCGACCATTCACTGTTGGGTTCTAATTAACAGTGCTGTTCCTAAAGTGGCGCTGGGAAACAGTAACAAAGCCTACACAGAACACGAGGCTAATGGCCGTAGTAGTCGACGCCGATGATACCAATTAAAAAAAAAAAAAAAAAAAAAAATAATAATAATAATAATAATAATAATAATAATAATAATAATAATAATAATAATAATAATAATAATAATAATAATAATAATAATAATAATAATAATAATAATAATAATAATAATAATAATAATAATAATAATAATAATAATAATAATAATAATAATAATAATAATAATAATAATAATAATAATAATAATAATAATAATAATAATAATAATAATAATAATAATAATAATAATAATAATAATAATAATAATAATAATAATAATAATAATAATAATAATAATAATAATAATAATAATAATAATAATAATAATAATAATAATAATAATAATAATAATAATAATAATAATAATAATAATAATAATAATAATAATAATAATAATAATAATAATAATAATAATAATAATAATAATAATAATAATAATAATAATAATAATAATAATAATAATAATAATAATAATAATAATAATAATAATAATAATAATAATAATAATAATAATAAAAATAATAATAATAATAATATATATCTCGAACTCACTACGGAAATCAAACAAATGTGGAGGGTGAATACAGTTAAAATACACCCACTAGTAATATCTGCAACTGGAATTGTGCCACTTACACTTACAAAACATCTAGAACAACTGAATGTAAAACACAGCTTAACACAAATAAATAAATCTGTGGTGCTTGACACGTGTCATATTGTCCGAAGATTTCTTGGCTCACAGACAAATTAGCCGAATCCAAGCATATACTGTTGGTGCACCAGCACCCCAGAATACTGCAAAAATAACCCAGGTTAACCTGAGATAATTCTATCAAATAATAATAATAGGTCTCCCTTTCCCTACACAAGTCGCTCAGGCGGCTTCAGGGGTTGAAATTCACAATAGGCAGAGACAAAATTGTTGAGTACCAATTTCTCTTGTTTCTGAACCGATTTTCTTTTTTAATTTTGGTTTAGTAGCCATTGACAAGCTTTAATGTTGTCAATAAAACATTTTTGGAAATGGAAATTATTTAAAATTTTAAAAATAATAGTAGTTGGATGTCCAAAATATGAACTGTGATTGGTGAATTTCATTTTCTTGCAGTGTTCTCACTAACTAGAATGGATATGAAGTATATTCGTTCAGTTGAACGCAATAGCATACTTGTTCGTTTTGTAATCTGTGCGTAGATAAGCTAATATTCTTGTGGGCGTGAAAAAAATAATTACCTATAGTTCACGTTCTCAATGATTTCGAGTAACAAAGTAAACAAACGATGATTACTTTAGGAGATACTAGACTTGTAATTTTCTCTCCATTTTGGGCGGCAAAAATTATGACGTCGTTATGACGGTGATATCGTAAAGTGTTTCGGAACATTAGTACGCCCTCTGTTAGCCGCTAACTGGCGGATGATCGCTTAAAGGGGGAACGTTGCGACTTTGTTGACGTATTAAGGGAGGCCACAAAATACTCGTATCCACGAAACTACTTCTGTTTATTAGTTTAACTTATAATACTGGTAATGTTTTACATACTTCAGTTTTTATATCGAATAACTCGCTTTTTAATGAACTATACAATATATTTTTTATTATACATATTTTTAATATTACGGGGAGTTTCGTTAAGAAAGTAAAATAAAGCAAGAGACCCTATTTTTACCAGTCTCCCTAATTTTTTCAGGTTTGAATGTTTTTGTGTTATATTAAAGATTTAAATTAACGGACATATAATTTTAACGAATTTCTTATTCATTTAGCAACGACTCTTGCTGCTATTTATATTTTGTAATTACATGATTTCGTCTAGTAAATTAAAAGAAACCAAACGAAATTTGACTAGTGAACTATCGAAAATTTAAATTATTCTGTCAGCTTATAGAACAAGTTAGGTATGAAAAAATTTAATCAAATTTTATATGTAAAATAATTTGATTTGACTTGTGGGTGAAGAAAATCCGGAAAATTGCAGCAACCATCATCGACACAGTGATAGGAGTAATAGTAATTTTTATTTACTATGAAAATATAATTATATCTAAAATACAAGCATTAATAATTTCTTATACTGGTAAATAAAACTTAAACCCCCACAAAACGAAAATCCTGAGCGTGGGTGAGAAACTCATTTTCATTTCTGTCCTACAACAACGATAATATTATTTGTAAAATATATAAATTTGACAAAAAACATAAAATATCTATTAATTACGTTATAGAGATAAGCGCTTAGAGTTTCTTATAATTTCAGGAATCAAAGAACGTCAGTAGGTACTCTTTTGGACTATGACAAAATATGCTTAAATTGATGAATTGTTTAAATTTTGTGAATTCATTTTCTTTTTAACAAGTTGTATGAGTTGATTCTTCTAATATTAGAGGAAAGTTCATTATATATTTTTTTGTTGGTCTTGGTACAGTAATTGAATCGATTTTATCTCTAGTATTATATGGTATAAAAGGTTTGGAGTATTTTTTATCTTTATATTGTTTTAACAATAGAGTTTTGGCATACAATGGTACATACTAAAAAATTGTGTTTCAGTATATAACATTTCAGTCAAATAAGCTCTTGGTTTTTTTTATGTTTTTTGGGATACAAATTTTGAAATTTTTGTATATTTCCTATAAGTTTTATTCCTGCGGAGCCCCATACAATTAATAGGTACATAGGTTAAGTGAGATTCCACGAGGGCGTAATATAACACTTTGAGATATTTAATATTTAATAAGTTAGAGAGATTTTTAAATTTGTACACAATCGATCGAAGTTTTCTTATTATATAATTTACTTGAAAATTACACTTTAAGATGGTTCACAAAAAAATCGCCTAATGGTGAATACAAAAAAAAAAGAGATTCGCAATGTTGAAAAATGTTATTTTTGTAAGGAACTGTACACAACACTTGTGAGCTTATATATACGGATACGGTATTATTTCAAGTAAAATTCGGCACCGTCGCAAATATATGAATGGTGGGCTATCAAGTGAGTGTGTATACCTATAGAAATTTGTGACTTCCTCATATTAATTTTAATGGTTTGTTTTGGTTCAAACAGAACCGTCGATTCCAGTTCTTAAACCACGACTTTTGTGTTTTCCAGACGTGTATCCTTACCGTTAGCATTTTTCCATTTCCTATGCGATTACTCGTTGCCAAACTCGCATAGGAAATCGAAAGCTACCTTAAAATGGAAAGCTACCTTATCCACTCCATTCTCTGAGCGGTTCTAGCAAAGGATGATAAACTAAAGAGAAGGATGGGCCACTTCCATAATAAGCCATATTAACTTATTTTATGACGTCACGAAATACTTCTGTCACTTGTCAGTTGTCAAAACATCGATTATACAGAGTTGTTTATGGTGTTATATGTTGTTTTTTCGTGTTTTTCTGCTGTTGTTTTAAGTAAAACTATATTTTTTGTAGCTATTTTATTGTTATTTGAACTGGTTGAATTTTACATTTAGTTATTTTGTGTTTGAGTTTATATTTTGTATTGGATAACTCTTTTTAGAGGAAGGTAAGAAAGTTGTCCACGATTATAAATATTAAAAATTCTTAACATAAATTTTATTATAGGCTTTTTCACCTACCTAATATGACAGGTACATATTGTGTAGTTTCTGGCTGTAATGCAGAGTACTCTGCGTATAAGAAGGCAGGAATTGGTGTGTCATTTCACAAATTTCCCAGGCCAATAGATTTTGTTTCACAGACGATTTTAAGTGAATGGATTAGACGATGCGGGACTAGAAATACTGATCCTTTAAAAAATCATATTTGCTCTAATCACTTTTCGCCCACTGATTATGAAAGAGATTTGCAAAATGAATATTTAGGTATGTACCTACATTTTTTAAACAATTTTCTTAACTATAAAAATGCTATTTATTTTTGTAGGATTGCCACCTATGAAGAAGTTAAAAAAGACATCAGTTCCCAATAAAAATCTTCCACATGTGGTTTTGGCTGTAACAGAAATGAATGACGAAAACCAACTGGTATCTCCAGAAGTACCTTTTGGAAGTGGTTCAGAAAATGCTGACTACAAAATAAAATATTTGGAAATGCTTTCAGAATTCAATAAAATAAATCAGAGGCTCCTTATTTATGAAAATGAAAGAAGAATTCAGAAAGTTACTTTTCAAAATAAAGTTAAAAGGTTACAAAACCAAGTCAAATATTATAGAAACCGGATGCAAGGCAAAACTGATGTTGGAAAATGACGTTCAAAATGGCTAGCAATTTATTCAAAACGATTTTTACAAAAAATCAGGTAGATAATCTCAAAAACATTGTTATATTGTACAGTTTTTATTATTATTTTATCTGGTTCAGTTAAATTTGTTGTTAAAAAAGAAAAAACAAGTTCGATGGACTTCAGAAGAAATGAGTATAGCATTTACGTTGCGATATTATAGGAAAAAAAGCTATTTACATTTGAAAAATAAACTCCATTACCCATTACCATAGTTGTCATCCATGAAAAGATGGGCTTCCAAATTAAGTGTTAGTAGAGGGATATTGCATGATATTTTGGCATTATTAAAACTGCATGGAGAAGACATTTCTGCATATGAAAAAACGGTGGTACTTCAATTTGATGAAATCAAATTAAAGTCAATTTACAATACGATACCGCTAATGATGAAATAATTGGCCCGCATTATATGCAGGTAGTAATGGCAAGAGGATTATTTTACAACTGGAAACAACCAATTTTTATTGATTTTGACAAGAAAATGACTAAAGACATCTTGTTAAATGTAATAAAAGAATTTCATTTCATATAATGTGGTAGCATGTGTTAGTGATTGTGGAGGAGGTAATGTTGGATTGTAGAAAGAACTAGGAATTGGTATGGAAAATTCTCATTTTTTGCATCCAGTTACGAATAAAAACGTATATATGTTTGCAGATGCTCCATATTTACTAAAACTGATACGCAACTGGTTGTTAGATAAAGGTTTCAGTTTAGATGAAAATACTGAAATTACCAAAGCGCCTCTTATAAATCTAAAATTACAAATACAGAGGTTAATTCATGCTGGAAAGTTTTAGAAAAACACATAAGTTGTGAAAGATCTCAACGACAGAATGTTGCATTAGCTGCACAACTACTAAGCAACATTGTTAGAACTGCTTTATTGCGATATAAAAATAAGCCAGGCATGAATACAATAGAGTGTGAAAATTTAAGAAATTTAATTTTAAATATAAATCAATGGTTTGATATTTTTAATAGTTACAGTTCCATCGGAAAATGGATATGACAGAGCATTGAAAATACAAAAAGAACATCTTAATAAAATAAAAATGACCAATAGGTAAACAAGCAATGCAGATCTTCCAAAAAGGCATGCTTAATGTCTACTGAATCCCTTAAAATGCTTTTTAGGGACAAGTACAAATGATAAAGCCTGATGAATCTGGTAGTAGTACATCATTTGATTCATCAAATTCATATTCAACTATAAGCAGTGGGGATTCAACGGATTCTAGTATGGGTGAAATTTATGGAGATGCTATTGAATACATAGCAGGCAGAATATAACAACTTGGGCGATCACACATATAAATTCAAAAGTGACCATAATTACTCGCTTCCTTCATGGGTACAGAAATTGTCTTTTGGTGGACTTATAAAGCCAACTCAAGAGTGGCTATCAATAGTTCAAAAATGGGATAAGTACTTCAGGAAGCATCATGCAGATGGTTCCTTACGAGGTGGCCCTGGAGTAGTTCGAAAGATGGCAACTAAAATTGCAAAAGTGGAGAAAAGCTTTTCTATTAAAATTATAAAACATTTTTGCAAAATACGAACAATAATTAGGCTAAAGTACAGAAATCTTAAAAATTAAGAATTAAAAAAACAAAATAGTTTGACTAAAAGAAAGGCCAAAGAAGACCTTGATGAATCCGGAAGAAAAAAACTAGAAAATTATTGAAAATTATAAAATAGGTCAATAATTAGTTTTTAAAATCCTTTAATCTTTTACACTTTAAATGTTTGTTTCTAATTATTACCTATGTAGTCACTTTTTGGTCTACAGATCTAAGATTAGTGATATTTTCTTTGAATTTAATGAATTAAAAAATAAAAAAGTGATACAAAATGTTATTGTTCTATTGTAAAGGCATGTATTTTATTGAAATATTTTATTTTTCAATTTTAAATAATGATTTATTTAATTGTTTTTTTTTATACCTACCTAATTGTCTGGAAAAGAAGTTTCTTGTAATAATTTAAAATCGTATTTTTCAATATAAAAGTGTTTCTGTATATACGTAGATTTGAGGTTATAAATAGTATTTCATGACGTCATTTGACAGTCTGACATATCAATTTAAGTGGCCCATCCTTCTCTTTAGTTTATCATCCTTGGGTTCTAGCTACCAATCTTGTTCTGTATGCGCCTAAGGGCCTCTCGCACCGCTTTTACTTATCATCTAAGTGACACTTAAGAAGGAATAAATAGTTAGCACCGTTTTTAAAGTTCTACTTGTCAAGGTGTTAAGAAACACTTTACTAAACCCAGAAATTTTTTAAGGTTAAACCACTACTTCACATTAAAATATTTAATTTTATAATTTTAAAAGAAGTTGACTCGGATTGTGTCATTTATTTATTAGCACGTTACACAAATCAGTCTATTATAAGTACTAAGTAGTTGTAATCGCATAGGAAAGGAATATATTTTAAGTTACTATTGCCTATCTGAACACAGCTAATATGTTGAATAGAATAGATATTAGAATGTTTTAAACATTTTTACTTATATCTTAATATGCTTGAAGAAAACAAAATATTTATTTTAATAAAGCAAATATAGTTTTTTACGATAATTGTCGATCAATGACCAGTTAGATTAATTATTTAAAAAAGAAAAAAGCTATAATTTCAACAAATTATATTATTAAAAAAATAATTTATTTTATCTTTTCTCGTTGGCTCCGAAATTGAATTTGGAAGACACAATAGAATTAAAAGTTTATTTTTATGAAGCTTGTCTAAATTTCTCCTAAATGTTTCCAACTAGATTTGGTAATCTTCGATCACATTATTCTCATTGGCATTGTCAACTTCAAAATATTCCTACACTATTGTTCTTGCCGTTCATTTTGTGAATTTTGCTAAACTAATGGTTTTATAAAATCTTCCTCCATATTACTGTCGGTTAGGTCAACTGTTTATAAAAAAGTTTTTATCTATGGTATTTCCCAAAAGCAAAGTTGCTAACTCTACACGATCATAGTTTGCTTTAGCACAATGAAAATGTTGTTTTCTTTAAACATATTTAGATATAAGTAATGTTACGCAGCACCCTGTAGTAGCCTGTGGCTATCATAGGTAATGTACAGATAGAAGAAGAAGTGGAATGTTACACATCGCTCTACAGCGTGCTGCGGTCGTCATAAGTAAAAGTACAAGTAAAAGAAGACAGAATATTCCAGAAATGTCCAGAAATGTCATTACACGTCAAGAACATTCTAGATGATATTTCGAGAAGGTTCGAGAAGGTCAGCAAGCTATATAAGTCGACGACCTGACGTCAGAGTTTAGTTTTATGATAGACGTTATACGTAAATGTTATCAGTTGTTAAGTTATTGTCAAAGTTGAATTATAGTTATTGTAAAGTTCAGTTGAAATAAATTGTGATACCAAAAACCAGCGTAACATTGGTGACAGCGGTGAAATCTAAACTAAAAGTTCATGGTAAATACCAGATCTATCGAGTACGAAGCAGAAATGGACACTTCAGGCCCACCAGCATGGTTTTTGAAGATGAAAGAGGAGAGAGTAAGGCAAGAAGAGGAAAAGGAACGGCGTAGGAAGAAAGAAGAGGAGGAGAGAGTGAGGCTAGAAGAGGAAAGGGAAAAATGTAGGAAGAAAGAAGGGGAGGAAAAGGAACGGCGTAGGAAGGAAGAAGAGGAAGAAAAGGAACGGAGTAGGAAGGGAGAAGAGGAGGAACAGGAAAGGCGCAGAAAGGAAGAAGATGAGGAAAAGGAAAGGCGTAGGAAGGAAGAGGAGGGAGAGAAGGAAAGACGCAGGATGAATGAAGAAGAAGATAAAGAAGAGAGGCGTAGAAAAGAAGCGGGTGAAATTATGAATGGTTTGCTGCTTATTCAAGAACATTTCAAACAAGAGGTAGGTCAGATAAACAGTCGAGTAGATGTCTTAGCCCAGCAACAAGAGAATCTAAAAACTAATTTAGAGCAACAACAAGAGAATTTAAGAGCTAATATGGAACAACAACAAAATAATCTAAAAACTAATTTAGAACAACAACAAGAGAATTTAAAAGCTAATTTGGAACAACAACAAGAAAAAGCTAGAGCAGACTTGGAAAGGCAAATCAGAACTGAAATAGTTGAGTTAAAAAAAAAGAATTCGTAGCCAAGCTCCAGTAGGCAACGCTGAAGCTGAAAACGCTACATCGTCCTCAACCATAACTGAAACAAGCCACATTCGAATCCCAGTCTCACAAAACTATGCAAGCAAGACCCTTAAGCCACCCACGTTTGACGGTCAGACAACATGGGAAACATATCGACTCCAATTTGAAGCTGCAGCTAGAGCCAATGGCTGGACCGAGAAAGAGATGGCGGCTTCATTGATAGTGTTATTGCGAGGTCAGGCAGCAACTATTTTGCAGTTACTTCCCCAAGGAGAACCCAGTTACTCATCTCTCGTCCAAGCTTTGGAGACAAGATATGGCCAGCAGCATTTGAAACAGGTATTCCAAAGTCAGCTAAAAGTTCGTAGTCAGAAACACAATGAGAGTCTACAAGAATTCGAAGCCGATATTAAAATATTACTGCATCTGGCCTATCCACAGGCACCTAAAGATTTCTTAGAGCAAATCGGCATACAAGCATTCATTGATGGACTACAGGATGTGGAAATGCAGCAGGCTCTTAGGCTACAACACCATAAGACCTTGAGTTAGGCCCTTATTGCAGCCCAGGAATACGAAGCAGCAAAAACTATATCTAGATCTTCTCGCGCAAAATTGAGAGAAATTCGATTTCAAGAAAGCGAATAGGCTACCATTAGTACTATCCCTCAACCTACCCTCGCACAAATATTAAATATCCTACAAAGTATGCAACGAAATAGTCGAAATGAGAGCAGAAGATGCTTTAATTGCGGAAGAATTGGACACCTTCAAAGAACATGTCGAAGCAGGGCTCGTTCTATGAATCGAGAATCGGAGAATGATGCTAGAAATTCACCTAAATCAACCTCCCGAAGCCCGTCACGAAGTCTAACAAGAAATAATTATAGCAGATATACTTCACGGAGAAGCCGGTCACCCACTCCTAGCCGGCTTTCTAACAATAGTCAGGGAAACGAATAAAGGTCGACACTACGGGGCAGGCGTCGGCTGTAACAGAGGGCCTCAAAATTCACACTTACACGTTAAATAAAAACGAACAAAACCTATTGGTCAAGGGGTATATCGATAACCAAGAAGGCACCTTTGTCCTTGATACTGGTGCAACTAAGTCTTTCATTCGAACAGGGATCCTGAATCGAAAGCCACGATCAACTCGAAGAAGCTTAGTTCTGGAAACAGCTACAGGACACACTACTCCTGTTCTATGCGAGATATCAGCAACCGTACAGATTGGTAATACCCTGATAGAACACTTACTTCTGGTGGCCGGTATTAAAGATCAGTGTGTCCTGGGTATGGACATTATGCAAAATAAATTTATTATCGACCTTCAAAACAAGATCTTGGTAATTGGAAACGAGGAAAGTGTCCTAAATTCGGAAGAAATGACTCAACCGATAAAGGTCCTAGTAGAAGAAGACATAGAAGTACCCCAAAATTCTGAAGCTGTCGTCTCGGCGAGACTTAGCGAGAAATCACACGGTTTACATGTGGGCATTGTGGAAAGTGAAGAATCTGTGAGTGACGGAATTCTGGTAGCTAGATGTCTTGTTAACGTTGATAAACTAATTCCAGTAAGGGTTGCCAATTTATCGAATAGACCATTCAAACTGAAGAAGGGACAAGAAATAGGGCTCTGTACACCGGTGGAAAACATAATCAAGTGCGAAGACCGTTTTACTGGGAAAGCCACCACAAGTACCTCAGTTGACGCCAGTTTGTAAAACAGCTAGTTAAAAATTAAGAACACCTGACAGCTGAAGAACTTAGAAAAGTCAAAGAATTTATCAATTCCAACTATGACATTTTCGAAACAGGAAAATCTACGGTGCGTACCAGTCTTGTTTAGCATAGAATTTATACAGGCGATGCAAGACCAATACGATAAGCAAACTAGAAGACTCCCATTTGCTAAACAAAAAGAAGTAGCAAATATGATACAGGACATGATGGATGCAAATATAATTGAAGAAGCTTCTGGTCCCTGGTGCTCACCTGTGGTCTTAGTAACTAAGAAAGGCGGATCTACTCGTTTCTGTGTAGACTATAGAAGATTAAATCAGATAACACAGAAAGACAGCTATCCACTCCCCCGAACAGATGACACACTAAACACTCTATCAGGTGCAAAATGGTTTTCCACGCTAAGAG